CCCCCTAAAAACTATGAACAAGGGCCTGTTGTTTCCCAAGGACTACAAGACAGGATTTCAATACATCCGGGGCAATTGGGCAAAGGTCGCTTTCCCCCCAGGAATGATGGACAAGTATCCATTGATCCGTGGGAATAATGGACACTGGTCCATTGTTCTCTGGGAGTAATCGGACGGGGGGTCATTAATCTCCGGGAACCAAAAACAAGGATCCATTACTCATTCAAGACCTTGGACAAATATTCGAAAACTCTGACTCCGAAACCGTTGCCAATCGTTTTGGAAAGGCCACCCGAATGCTTGTATCCATTTGAATTCCACGATGACAAATGGGGTGGGGGGCGCGTTCAGGCTGTAGCTCGCGCTCGGCTTTCCAACTTCCAAAAGCTCTGAGGATAGAGGCAAAGTCATTCTCGACATTAAATATGGTTTAACATTTCCCCCGCTTGAACTTCGCAACTGTGAAGTGGCTCAATAGTGACACGCATGGAGCGCGGCTCCTTTGCAACATGGAGTCTCACTTGAAACTGACCTGTCGGGTTTGCAACACTGGCTAATACATCGCTCACATGGCGGGCGTCGAATTTTAACGCAGGGGGCTCTCGTTGGACACTTCCCTGGACCTTCTCGTCATGCCTCCTCGCATCCTTTACGGTTCCTGGCCATCGCTCGGACGTCCATTCCCCGCTCAGGTTCCGGTTTCGTGCGTTTTGTTTAGCTTCTCTGCAAGGTGAGCCAGGATGCTCCTCGCGGGTCTTCGCCGAGAAAGATGCACTTGACTCGCGGACAGAGGGCGAAGCGGCGCGGCCACCGGCGCTCCAGCAAGGTGCCGATTTCGTCGGGCCCCCGTTGCAGCTGAGCCGAGGAAAAAGTTCCAAGGGCTCCCAACTTCGCGCTCCGCGGAGCGCGAGTTGACGTCGCGCTCTCGCGCCGCCCACCCAAAGGGTGAGAAGGAGGACGAGGAGGAGGGGGAGAATGACCGCGGAGGACGAGAAGGATGAGAACGAGAAGGAGGACGAGGTGATGAGATGATGAGACGACCTCGCGGACAGTCTCCTGCCGCGCTCGCCCGCGCGCGGGCGAATAAAAAGACAGACAGAAGAGGCGCACGAGGGCGGAGGAACACCCCAAGCGTGGCCAACCCCCCCGAGCGGGGCCACCCGAGGCCACCGCAGCACGAGGGGGCGCAAGGGGGGCGGCGGACAGGGCCCCAGAGGCCACGGCCTGCTTGGAGCACTCCTCCCCCCCCCACCTGTCAGGCCAAGTTCGAAGGAGGACGAGGAGGAGGAGGAGGCGGAGGAGGAGGACCGCGAAGCGCGAACGACTTCGCGCCCCCGAGGGCGCCCTCGAAAGGGCTCGCGCGCCCGAGCGGCGCCGAGGACGCCGGCGGGCGCCCCGGGGCAGCCCCGCGGCGCGCGCCGCAGCCCCCGCCCCCGGCGGCAGGCCCGCGGGGCCGTCGCCCGAGGGCGAGGAGGCACGGCCTGGTCTTGTTGTTGTCGAGGGGCCGGTTTCACCAGCCTCCTCCTCCTCCTCCTCCTGCTCCTCCTCCTCCTCCTCCTCCTCGCCCTCCTCGTCCTCCTCCTCCTCCTCCTCCTCCTCCTCCTCCTCCTCCTCCTCCTCCTCCTCCTCCTCCTCCCAGGAGTCCCTAAGGTGGGCGAGCAAAAAGCGAGGACAGTCTCAGGGACAGGCCCTCAGAAACGGAGGGGGTCCTCGAGATCGGCATCGAGGCGAGGTGATGTCAAGCATGGGGATGGGGGACATGTTCCAGGCTGGCAACGATTGTCCACCAGCACTACCATGAAGTCGGGCAGGTCCCCCTGCAGGGGGATTTTGGACGACAGATGCAAGACGATGTTCCAAGAATGCTCCGAAACCTGCAGAAGCAGGGGAACACGCGTCCCCAGACTGGTGTTGTACTATTCCCCCACATGTTTCGTGGGGCTCTGGCCTTCTTCCCTGCCGCGCCGCACCCGCGTCCGCACACCCGCACACACCTCTCCCTCCCCCGCAAAGCGTGGCAGACGTGGCAGACATACATACATACACACACAGGCACACCGACACAGACACATACACACAGACACACAGACACACACAGACACAAACACACATACACACATACACTCCCTCACCCACGCGCAACACCTGCACGGCACGTACATGAGACACGCGTAGCACACTTCACAACACAGCGCAGCGCAGCACAACACAGCGCTGCTCAGCACAGCTCAGCTCGGCACAGCACAGCACAGCTCAGCAGAGCACAGCGCACATGACACGCCATACACAACACGCACGTGTAGGATGCGCAGGGCACGGCAGGCATGGCACTTTCTCGACACCAGAGGGACTGCGTTGGTGGTGGTCCCTGAGCGCGGTGTTCGACACCGTAGGGGTGCGCAGGAGGTGGTCCCTGAGCGCGGCCGCTATAGGCGCCGGCCGTCCAGGGCATAGCAGGAGCGGCACTTTCCCGACACCATAGGAGGCGCGCAGGAGGTGGTCCCTGAGCGCAGCCGCTATCCGAGTCGGCCGTCCAGGGCAAAGCAGGAGTGGCACTTCCTCGACACCGTAAGGGGTGCGCAGGAGGTGGTCCCTGAGTGCGTCCGCTATCCGAGCCGGTCGTCCAGGGCATGGCAGGATGGCACTTTCTCGACACGGTAGGGGGTGCGCAGGGGGTTGTCCCTGAGCGCGGCCGCTATCCGAGCCGGTCGTCCAGGGCATAGCAGGAGTGGCACTTTCCCGAGGTGCGCAAAGTGTAGTCCCTGAGCGCGGCCGCTATCCGAGCCCGTCGTCCAGGGCATAGCAGAAATGGCACCTTTCCGACACCATAGGAGGTGCGCAGGCAGTGGTCCCTGAGCGCGGCCGCCATCCGAGCCGGTTGTCCAGGCCAAGGCAGGATAGCACTTTCTCGACACCGTAGGGGGTGCGAAGGAGGTGGTCCCTGACCGCGGCCGCTATGCGCGCGGGTCGTCCAGGGCATAGCAGGCGTGGCACTGTCTCGACATCATCGGGGATGCGCAGGCGGGGCGGTTTCCCAGGGCCTAGCGCGCCGCTATCCGGCATAGCCGGAGCGGCACTTTCCCGACACCGTAGGGGGTGCGCAAAGTGTGGTCCCTGAGCGCGGCCGTTATAAACGCCGGCCGTCCAGGGCATAGCAGGAGCGGCACTGTCCCGACACCATAGGAGGTGCGCAGGGGTGGTCCCTGAGCGCGGCCGCTATCCGAGCCGGTCGTCCAGGGCATAGCAGGAGCGGCACTTTCTCAACACGGTAGGGGGTGCGCAGGGGGTTGTCCCTGAGAGCGGCCGCTATCCGAGCCGGTCGTCCAGGGCATAGCAGGCGTGGCACTGTCTCAACACGGTAGGGGGTGCGCAGGGGGTTGTCCCTGAGAGCGGCCGCTATCCGAGCCGGTCGTCCAGGGCATAGCAGGAGCGGCACTTTCTCAACACGGTAGGGGGTAGGGGGTGCGCAGGGGGTTGTCCCTGAGAGCGGCCGCTATCCGAGCCGGTCGTCCAGGGCATAGCAGGCGTGGCACTGTCTCAACACGGTAGGGGGTGCGCAGGGGGTTGTCCCTCACCGCGGCCGCTATCCGAGCCGGTCGTCCAGGGCATAGCAGGAGTGGCACTTTCTCGACACGGTAGGGGGTGCGCAGGGGGTTGTCCCTGAGAGCGGCCGCTATCCGGGCCGGTCGTCCAGGGCATAGCAGAAATGGCACCTTTCCGACACCATAGGAGGTGCGCAGCGGGTGGTCCCTGAGCGCGGCCAAGGCAGGATAGCACTTTCTCGACACCGTAGGGGGTGCGAAGGAGGTGGTCCCTGACCGCGGCCGCTATGCGCGCGGGTCGTCCAGGGCATAGCAGGCGTGGCACTGTCTCGACACCATCGGGGATGCGCAGGGGGGGGGCGGTCTCCCAGGGCCTAGCGCGCGTTGCATTCTCTCGAGGCCACAGCGGTACGCAAGCGTGGGGGGGGCACCATCACCAACGGTATCGGCGGGGCAACGGCCACTAACGTCATTCTCACATGCTTCACTTCAGCAATCATCACTCCAGCCATAATCTAAGTACGTGGGGTTCCTGGGTAGCGTAATTTAAAACACCCCTCCTGTAGAGGGACGCACCCGACTTAACGCTGTCATATGAAGGAAGGAGAGGAGGAGGAGGAGGAGGAGGAGGAGGACGACGACCTCCTCATCCTCCCGTCTCCCCCGTCCTGCACATGGCAGTGGTGGTGGAAACCGAGCCCATCATTTTTGAGGGAGAAGATGGGAGCGGACAGCCACAGTGAAACTCCAGCCACACCAGCCTGCGCAAGATAGGAAACTAGCACCGTGCACTGAACGACGGAGAAATTAAATCGCACCGACCGTGTCGGGGGGGGGGGGCTGGGGCAAGCACTTACACTGAGAGCGAGATAGACTACACAGTTCGGGCTTCTGGGACGGGGGGCATGGACTTTGGGGTCCAAAGACGAAGCCAAGACAAGGATATATTCGGGTGAGGATAGATCGAGAATCTCTGAGAACCGGAGGATCTGGAGGATGTCTCGGGCGCCGCGGCCTTCTCGGAGAGTTCCAGAACGCTCTGAGAGCGTTCAGGAACGATCTGAAACGGATGTATCCTCTTCCTAGCCCCGCCCGAGGTCAACCGTCAGGGGGGTCATCGAGGTTCGAAGTTTTGGGGCGCTTTCGTCGGTTCTCGACATCCGTCCATCCCGAACGGCCGCTGGAGAGCCGAGCAAAAGCCCTGAAACCACCAGGGGACCGGCTCAGGGGGGGGGAACGGCAACCTGGAACTGGCGAGACACCGCCGATCCATCGGCGATAACGAGGCCCCCGACCACGGAGCCGCACACTCGTGAGCGGGGTGGCTATCGGGCCCTTGTCGGCGATCACCAGGCGATTTGGGGTCGAAGCATACCCCCCTGAGCCCATCCCCCGTAAAATTGCCCCTGTGTGAAGTGCAACATCGCTGAAGCGCCGACCGCCCACGGACGTCCAGCG